CCTGGCTGTACTGCTTAGTAACTGTGTGACTGACTGAGGTCGTTGCTGAATATATCAGTCTGTCTGTCTTTAAAATGTTCCACAGGGATGGGCATTATGGCACAGCAGGTTAAGCTACCACTTGGGATGCCCACATCTCATATCACCATGCCAGTTAGAGTTCTGGCTACTCTGCTTTCTTTCCAGCTTCCTGCTATGTGCACCATGGGAGGCAGCAGATGATAATCCAAGTTCTTTGGTCCCTGCCACCCACATGGGAGATGTGGGTGGAGTTCTGGGCTCCTGGCTTTGGAATGGCCCAGACTGGTGGTTGCAGGCATTTGGGGAATGAACCAGTGGGTAGAACTCTCTCTCCATCCTACCCTTCCTCCCTTCCTCTCTGACACTCTGTTTTTCAAGTAGATGGAAAAAAAACTAATGTTGTACATGATAAATATATACAGTTTAAATAAATGAATTAATAAAGTGTTCCACAAATATTTCCTGATTGCCTTAAGTGCCAGTAAAAGACAATCACAGTGCTCTTTGATATATATCTGAGAAAGGAATTGTTGCCCCATAGGGCTTTTGGAAAGAAAGAATTACATGAAATAAAGTTAATGAAATATTTTATGAAATATAAATGTTATCCAAGTAAAACTTTATCTTTCTAGGAACCTTAAAAATTACTAAGGTTCCTACCCAGCAATAATCTGTAACTCTATCCACAGATAATTTAGTTGGATCTCATGTGTTTATCTTATTGATGCTTAGTAAAAACACCCAATTACTACCTAAGGTTTTCCTGAGTACATTTTATATTTTTAAAAAATTCATTTATTTATTTGAAAGGCAGAATGACAGAGAGAGATGGAGAGACTCAGAGAGAGGTTCCATCTGCTCTTTCACTCCCCAAATAGCTTCAACAGCCAGGTCTGGGCCAAGCCGAAGCCAGGACCCCAGAACTCATCTGAGTCTCCCACATGCGTGGCAGGGGCCCAAGTACTTGGGCCATCTTTGGCTGCTTTCCCAGGTGCAACAGCAGGGAGCAGCATTAGAAGGAGAGTAGCCAGGGCTAGAACCAATGTGGGATGCCAGTGTTGCAAACTGTGCTTAACCCACTGTACCACAACACTGACTCCCTTGGGTATATTTTCTCCTATGACAAAACAAAATACAAAGGGTCTTTGAAAAGTTTATAAAAATGCATATTATGCAAAAACTATGTAAGGATTTCAATTTTTTTACATAAGAATACACTTATTTTTCAATTCCATTTTTCCACAAATATACTGCAGTCCCATTGCATTTTCCTGGAGTCCATTCAGAAATCCAGAGTACTTTTCTGTAGTAATTTTCCAGTAATCATTACATAAAAATCATGTGCACACAAAAATCTAACACTTTCATTCTGTCTGACACTGTGAGACTCTTATTTTGGTATTAGGACACAGGGGCTGACTTTTGGCAGAGTGACTAGGGGATATAATTAACAGCTGATATACCCTCTGCTTTCTGGATTCTTGATTTCTCTAGTGGGGCAATAATGACTTATATGCATAGCTGTATTTAATGTCATCTTAAATCTCTGGAAATAGCCAAGTCAATGTGAAAGGTGTAAATTATTACAAGTTACTCAACCCAGGTTTTAAGTAGAGAAGGAAATAATTTGAGAGGAGTAAAATTACAATTCAACCCTACATTAAGGAATGAGCTCAAGATTCCAAGCTATCTTGATTCAAGACAAGGGCACATTTTGAGAACATACACACAGGCACAGGCACACAAAAGAAACCAACCACTTCAGTCTCACAAAAATGCTGTTAAGAATGCATTTGCTACAGTTCAGGTTTCACATTCTAATAGGGTCCTATTTCTCTTAATCCCTTTCCCTTGAGAGCTAAAAACCACAAAGTGCTTGAAGTCACAGAATTGTGGAAGGATCCTTAGAAGTCATTGAGCCTTTCGGCCTGCATTGTGGTACAGGAGGTTAAGCCTTTGCCTGCAACACTGGCATCTAATATGCATGCCATTTCAAGTCCTGCTGCTCCACTTCTGTTCCAGCTCCCTGCTAATGCACCTGGGAAAGCAGCAGAAGATGGCCCAAGCATTTGGGCCCCTGCCACCCACATGGGAGATCTGGATGGAGTTTCAGGCGCCTAGCTTCAGCCTGGTCCAGCCCCAACCATTGCAGGCATTTGGCTAGTGAACTAGCAGATGGAATATCCCCCACAGGCAGATGCAATGTTGCTTGAGGTCAGACAGTGCTGCACGCTGTGTAAATGCACACGCTGTGATGCAAAGGCCAACACTGGCCATCCAGGCTCTACTACTTGCTTGTAGGCCCCTAGGGTATGTGCCCAAACCTCCATTTCCTCATCTATAAATAGGGGGTGATAATACTACCAACCTCTCAGGGCTACTGTGAGGCCTAAATGAAGTAATAATGTTAACTGTTTGGCACACAGTAAGGACTTGGCAAGTAACAAATGCTCAGATACGTTAGCTAGCACTAGCAACATAGAGGCCCATTCCAGTACTAGCAACATAGAGGCAACACAGAGGCCCATTCCAAAGTTTAAAGAGCTCCAACTGTTAAGAAGGTCAGACTGGCTGGGGCTTCCTTCCTATGGCTCCTGGTCATCACCACAGAGCTTAACCAAAGTCTGCACTTCTGTCAATGGGTGGGGTGGTGCCTGGCCCACCTGAGTCTCCTTGGTACCAAGCAGAACGCGGCCGGCTTCAGCGACCATTCCTCGTGTGGCTCTCCACGCCCTCTCCCCTGGATGCTTTCCTGCCTGCCACAGCTCTGTCTGAAGTGGCACTTGGTTTGTTCACTATTTTGGCAGAAAAGCTCAGTCTATAGAGGGGTGGCAGAGGATCACGTAACTCTGTTCGGATGTGGTTAATGAATTGTGGTGCCAAGGCTCTGCCAGTGAGCCTCTTGCCGGCAATGCAACACCTGACACTTCAGTCCCCCACTGGGGATAACTGCACTTAGCTCACCGGGTAGTTGGTAACAGTGAGGTTATACTTCCTCTACTTCCGTTCTTCCCTGACCTCCCTCCAGTCTGGGTTCCAGGCCCACAAGTCCACTGAAACTGCTCTCCCATGGTTACCAACGGTCTTCACATGGTTACTATTGGATGGTCAAGCCTTAGCCTTCCTCCTTCCTCACCACCTGACAGCACCTACCACCCCCTCTCACATCCACCTGCTTCAAACATGTCTTCACTTGCCTTGTAGGACTCACTGACTCCTGACCTCCATACTCCTTCTCGGGCTACTCCTTCACAGTCCCCATTGCTGCATCCTCCTCCTCATCTCAACCTGCAGATGCTGGAGTGTCCCAGGCCAGTCCCCTTCAACATCTACACTCGCTGCCCAGGCAGTGTCACCCAGTATAATCCAGGGATAAATAAGGGCATGGACTGCAGGGCCAGCTGCCGAGCTCAGTCCCAACTCCATGTCTTACAATCTATGTTATGCAGGGAAGTAATTTAACCTCTTCCTGCCGACAGCTTCCTCATCCATAAAAGTGGGGGAGAAGACTTCCCATTGGTGGTGTAAGGGTTACATCAGTTAATGCATGTAAGGTGCCTAGCCCGTGATAAGCTATCTAGTTCCATGGCTTTATACAAGGGTACCTCAAAAAGCTGTGGGAAAATGAAATTAAAAGATAATTTTCATGAATTTTTAGAAGACCCCTTGTATACAACATATTGATGATTCCTAATTGTACACCCATAGTTCATACAATTCCTCTCCACTCCAGTTTCTTCTATCTAAATGCCAATGTCCATCTCCACATTGATGTCAAGCCAGATCTGAAAGATCATATATCTGAAACTGACTTCTTATCCTCCATCATTTCCCATCCCCCTTCTCCCTTGTCTCTCTCATCTCACTAAAATACACCACCATCCACCCAGTTGCCCAGACCAAGAACCTTAAACGTATTCCAAGCTCCTCTTTGTTCCCCCTTACTAAACGCCAGCAAATCTACTCTTCCACCACTACCACGTAGGACACGACTTCACTATTTCCTGCCTGAGCAACTGCTCCCCTCTTTGCTCTCAACAATTTGTTATCTGCCCTGGTATGGTCACCTGGGACTGTTCCTAGAAATGCACTGTAAGGCACAAACCTCAGAAAATGTACTTATGCAAACTAAGATGGCTATGACATCACTGCATGATAATCTTCCAGGCTCTCCAACAGGTATGGGTCTGTTGGCTGAAATGTCATGTGGCTCATGACCGTATTTTCAAAAATTAATATCAGATGTCACTTCCCAACTTAGAACTCTCCAATAACTTTCCATCATACTTGGACTGAAATCTACTCCTCTGGTTATTACCAGGGGCCTAGGAGACCTGTCTCTGTCTGCCTCCCAGCCTCATCTCCCATCACTCTTCCCTTACCTACCCTGCTTCAGCCACAGTGTCTGTCTTGCATTTATCAAACTTCACAAGCAAGATTCTGTCTCAGGTCTTTGTACTTGTAGCTCCCTCTGGCTAGAATGTTCCTTCTCTCAGATTTTTCACACAATCTTTCTCACTGTTTTTGCAAACCTTGCTCAAGGGTTCCTTATTAAAGAGGCCTCCCCAGTGTATCTCATCAAGAAGTCACCCCTTACATTCTTTCCTACGCTATTACTGTTGATGTCCTTATGCTGTTTTTCTTTACAGAACTTAATACGTTTGAAAATATGCTTGCTTATTAGTCATGCCTACTAGAATCTCAGCTCCTTGGGAATGCAATTTTATTCCATTTTGTTATCTACATTAACCGTACCACCTAAGCAGTTTCTGGAATATAGCAGGTGCTCAGTAAATATTTCTTGAATGAATGAAGAAGTCAATAGTACTAAGTACATACTTGGAACAGAGAAAACAACTGTAAATTTGTTATGTCATTTTATAAGGTCAAAAGATGTTTCACAGCAAGGTCAAAATTCTTTATCTAGCTATCATATTGACACCCAACTTCAATATAAATACACATTATAGTATACTCACTTGGAGTTTCTTCCAAAATTTCCTGGAACTTGGTTCTCTCATATTCCACCAACTGGCGTTGAAGGTGTGGTCTAAGGCTCCTAATTGTAAAATTGGCCATGTCCATTTTCATGAGGTCCAGGACATGAAATATTTGTCTATAAATTTTAGAATGAAAATAGAGAGGTGATTAAGGAGCTAAGCCAAAATTCATTAACTATTACCTAGGTTACAGGCTGGAAAAGGGAAACATCCCCCAAACTCCAATTGCCATTTGGCAAGGTCACTCAGCAGAGAAGGTCATGCTTTTGTGTAGCAAACATGTTCCATAGATCGCAAGAGTTATTTACTTCAGCAGACTTAAGACCTCCAGCTGACCCGTTACATCCAGTCATAAACTGACAGGAAGACAGCTAAGAAGCGTATCTTAGCAACGATAGAAGAAAACTTCAAGAAGGATGTCCATTTGAAAGCCCTGAAATCTCAAGGAATCTGAACATAGTACATGTGGTTTTTATTCGCAAGGGAATAAGGAAACAAATAGTGGAAGAAAGGAAGGATGGGGTGGTGGAGCTCCAAAGGAAACATACTTCATTTCAGAGCTGGGCAGCCCTGTGTGCAAATCCAGCTTTACCAATGACCAGATTGGTGGCTATGCATAAACTACCCCCATCTCCTTGAGCCTCAAGTTTCCTCATCTGTGAAACAAGAGGACAGCATCAACCTTGGAGGGAAGTGGTGAACAGTCAATGAGATAATGAATGTGTAGTGCAGGAGCAGTGGCACCCAGTAGATGCTCAATAAAGACCAAGACTGTAGATTTGATATCATTCACAGGTAACAAAGGAACTGGAAGAAAGGATCCCTCACCAAGCATCACCATCGGCCAGAATTGAGCACAACTCATACTCATTTTATAGCAAGTGTCACCTTGAGAGGCCATCAATTTGCCCAAGGTCACAAAGTAAGTTACTTGCTACATGCACACCAGCTTCGTTCTAATGTTCCCAACTGATACATGAAACTCAATTCTTGGGGCTTGCGGGGCCGGCATCCCATATGGGTGCCGGTTCTAGTCCCGGATGCTCCTCTTCCAATCCAGCTCTCTGCTGTGGCCTGGGAAAGCAGTAGAAGATGGTCCATCCCTGCACCCAGATAGGAGACCAGGAAGAAGCACCTGGCTTCTGGCTTCAGACTGGCGGAGCTCCGGCCATTGCAGCCACTTGGGGAGTGAACCAATGGAAGGAAGACCTTTCTCTCTGTCTCTCTGTCTCTGTCTCTCTCTCTCACTATCTGTAACTCAATTCTTAAAATTGCTGTATTCATGCTTAAAAGGAGAAAAACTCCTCTAGAGCAAAAAGCGTTGCTGACTCCTGTTTCACTTAGGGTCACAGGAAGTTGCTGTTGATGCACAGGCAGAGGAGATTCTCAGGACTTCACATACACTTCCCAAGGGGAGCAGCAGCACAGGCGGCTAGCTGAGCACAAGAGGCCCACGTCCCCTCTCTGCAGAATTATAACTGCAAAGTGTGCTTTCAAAAGCAACTACCATTCCTGGGCCCACTTTTATCTTTTTAAGATTTATTTATTTGAAAGGCAGAATGATAGAGAGGGAGAGAGAGAGTTATCTTCCATCTACTAGCTCGCTCCCCAAACAGCCACAACAGCTGGGGCTAGGTCCAGAAAGAAGCCAGGAGCTCAGCACTCCATCTGGGTCTCCCACATGGGTGGCAGGGGCCCATGGGCCATTTCCTTTGTCTTCACAGGCACGCTAGCAGGGAGTCAGATCAGAAGTGGAAGAGCAGGAGTTGAACTGCCACTACAGGTGGCAGCTTCGCTCACTGTGCTAGAGCAACTGGCCCCCTATCCAGGTGGGACCTTCTGGCGAGTCACGGTTAAGAGACTGATTCTTGCAGGATGAGGTAGCTGCAGACTGGGTATGCCATTCTTATGGTCTCTTGCCATTTACTAGCTGAATGAACAGATTCTGAGGATGTGGGCAAGTATGGAGCCAAGGACAAGGATCCTTTAACAACATGTAGATGGCTGTCTAAGAACTCCAGGATTGGCCTGGGATATGAATATGGAACAGATTTTTATCAGTTAGATTCCTGAGAATTCAGAGTTTATGTGTTATAACAGCTAGTGACCCCAACTAGCGAAGAAGTCTTCCTTGACTAGATTAAGACACCTGCTGGAATCTCAGCCCTCTACTTCCCCTTCCATAGCACTTAGAAAATTGGTAATGGCTTATTCGAGGTCTGTCTCACTGCTGGACTGTAAACTTGTGGCTGTCTGGGATTATACCTATTTTCCATATCACTGCATGCTGTGGTTTGAATCTGTCCTCCCACGTTCACTGGTTGGAAAATTAACTTCCAATACAACAGTGTTGAGAGGTGGGACCTTTAAGAGATGAAGAGGTCATAAGGGCTCTAGCCTCATAAATGGATTAATATTCTAATCGTGGGAGTGACTTTGTTATGGTGAGAGTGGGTCTATTACAAAATGAAGTCCGACATTATTCCCACCTCATGCGTGCATGCCTGCTCTCGTGCCATTCTACCTCCACCATGGGATGGTGATATAACTCGCTTGGCAGAAGCAGGCTCCTCAACCCAGGATTTCCCAGTCTCCAAGACTGTAAGAAACACCTGTCTGTTCTTTATAAATTACCCAGTCTCAGGTGTTCTGCTACAGTGGCATAAAACAGACTGAGGCGCTTCACTCCCAGGGCCTACATAAAACCAAGAAACACGGAGATCATTCTACCTGAAATCTCTAGGCACAAAGTAAATTATTGACTTGCTCCCTGCTTATTTGGTTTTCTTCTAGGATCAAGAATTCCTTTGGGATATCAGTTATTATTCTGGTTCCCTGATGCCCACAGTTCCCTTTTGAATGAACTCAAAAGATACTGGAAGAAAATGCAGGCAGCAGAAGTGCTAACCTCAGCCCCTCCACGATGTTGCCGGTAGCCTTTAGCTCTCTGATGTCGTCATCTCGCACGGGAGCACACAGTTTACCCATCGTACTGATGATATAGTTGGCCAGGCCTTGGATGTCGACAGCATTGTGCTCGGCCTGCTGCCTGATGAGGTCTGGGTCCAAAACCTCACAGATCTGGTTACGAAGCCGGTTGCCTCCAGGAGTCAGAAAAGAGAGAAGAATCTGCACAGGGAAGGAAAGCAAGATTAACAGCACTGTTTCATGAGTGAAGGCTGTCGCCTTTCATTTCAGTGACTTGGACGTCAGGCCCCCTGTCCATCTTTTCGTGCCCTGGATGCCACAGAGGTTGACACAGACTGAGTGGTGGACCAGAGAAGCACTCCGGCATCTGAACTCTAAAAAGACAGCCCTGCATTCTCATTAAAAGGCCTCTACCAGGAAAACTGGCAGATCCTGTCGGGGATGAAAACAATTGGCAAGGAAGCTGTATCACTAAAACCACTTGGGGAAGTCTACGGGTAAACAGTGCAGAGAAGGCAAGAACAAGGTGCAGATCATGGCTCCAAAAGAACTCTTTAAAAAAAGGCAGAAGAAAATGCCCCCAGGTCCATCAGGTTTGACATGTTTTACATATAAAATATTGACTATATGCAAAGGGACTTCAAAAAGTTTATGGAAAGCTAAATGAAAGGATAAGTTAGTTTTGATGCAAAATACTTTAAAATTCATGCACAACTTTTTTCATAAAGTTTTTGAAGACAAATTGCGTTAAATGAGCAACCTATTTATTGAGTATTCAGGACACAACAGACACTGTACCGATACACACAGCACAAAATCAGGGGCACAGTTTCTGAGCCGGAGGGGCCTGTTCAAATTCCTCTCCACCTTCTAAAGCTGTATGACCTGGGTGACTCAGGGGACTTGGTTTCTTTACATAAAATAAGAATAACAGGAGGAACTACCTCATAGCATTATGGTAAGGGTAAATAAATAATCTAGTACTTGGTATAGAGCAAGTGCCTGGCAAATGTTAGCTAAGATTTCAACAGGCATCTCATTTAATTCTTAGACATGCCCTGTAAATACTCAGGAAACTGAGACTTAAAGACAGAGTCCATCCCTAAACCACATCTGTCGGCTTGAAAGTCTGTGCTCCCAGCTACACGAGGACTCTGTGCCCTACGCATCACCCTGATCTGTCCACTGCCCTCTCCTCTTGGCCTTCACCCCACTGCAGGAAGTGCAGGGGAAAATGCTACCAGTGATATAACTCGCTTGTTTTTCAAAAACAACAGCCAAATCTAGAGGGTATATAACAGTCTTTAGTGAAAAAAAAAAAAAAAAACCCTTAATTGCTATAGTCTGAAAGTCTGTGTTCCTCCAAACTTCATTTATTGAAACCCATTCCTCAAAGGGACAGTATTCAGAGGTGGGGCCTGTAGGACATGATAAGGTCACGTGTGTGGAGTCCTCATGAATGGGATCAGTGCCTTTGTGAAATAACAATAAAAATAAATAAATAACCTAGAGAGCAACCCTGCTCCTCCCACCACATGAGAAGACATGGAGAAGGTGCCGTCTAAGAACCAAGAAGTGGGCCCTCATCAGACACAGAATCCGCTGGAACCTTGACCTTGACCATGCCTCCCAAACTGTGAGAAAGGAGTTTCTACTGTTGATAAGCCACCAGTCTATGGTATTCTGTAAGAGCACTCAGATGCACAAAGACACTGATGAACACAAACAGAATCACTGACCTCTCTGATTTCTTCAAACAGTTTGATGGCATGTTCATACTCAGGAGGTTCGGCACTCAGCTCTGATTCCAAGACGTCCCAGAAGGCCTGGTGCACAATATGCTTCACTCGGCCAGCCAAGCTGCAGCGAAGAAACAGACTATGTTTAAATAAGCGTTATTTCACTAGTAATAATAAACATGCTAATTACAGACATCTTAGAAAACAGAGGGGAAAAGACAGAATAAAACTTGCCCATAATCCCATTATTAATCTTCTGACACATTTTCCATATCCAATCATTGTTTTACCATAGTTAAGAGTAACCAGTATATATAATGTCCTATACTTTTTTTTTTTCATTTTTATTCTGTCCTTTTTTCCCTAGGTTTTTAAAATACTTCCTTAGTAGAGTGTTCAATAAGTTTATAAAATTCTGTCCTAAGGAGAGACCATAATTTACCAAGCTACTTTTCTAAACAGATTCTAGATTTGGGGGATGAGGACGGCAAAGTTGCTCTTTGCTCAACAACTAGAGTTTCATGACACAGGATAGAACAGACTGGCCCCAAGGAGACATGCATCTGAATGACTGCCAGCTGCGGCTTAGATGTCCCATTTAAAGTTAGCCAGACCACACTGCTGAAATAGAAGTCTCCAGGAACAGCTCACAATAGAAGAGGTGGCCACCTTGGTTCACCCCTTATGTCAATGTCCCAAAATGGAAGCACATTCATACACATTGCTGCTGGACTCCTAGGGCATCTTGCAACAACTTTTAGCAAATCTTATATTTCCCTGAAGTGTAATTACTGATAGCTCTCTTTTCCCCACAGAGCTAAGCACCTCTCCCACACGGATCATAAGTACCTGCCATCGTGCCTAGCACAGTGACTGACATATAGTGAATGCCTGACAAATACACGGTGAATAAATTGATAATTTTATGGCTCAACATATCTCCTAACTTTTCTTCTTCTTTTTTAAGATTTATTTATGTATTTGAAAGGCAGAGTTACAGAGAGAGAAGGAGAGACAGACAAATCTTCCATCTGCTGGTTCACTCCCAAGATGGCAGCAACAACTAAAGAGTGGGTTGGGCTGAAGCCAGGAGCCAGCAGTTTCTTCCGGGTCTCCCAGATGGCCTTAGCACTTGGGCCATCCTCCGCGGCTTTCCCAGCAGGGAGCTGGATTGAAAGTGGAGCAGCCAGGAATTGAATCAGCATCCATATGGGATGCTGGTGTCACAGCTGGTGGCTTTATCCACTATGCCACAATGTTGGCCCCCAATTTTTCTTCTTAAATTACAAATGGCTAAGCATGATAATGCTATGAGAGATGAAAATCAGCTTCCTGAAGAGCATAGGTTAAAACTATTTCTATAACTGCAAATATTATTCAACTCAGCAACTTTAAGTCCTAAAACTTATTCTGGTCGCCTGAGCGGATTCATTCAACATAAATGCCACTTCTCATGTCTGAGCCTTCCCTGGGCAACTCCAGAACAGTGAGAAAGGCAAATACTGCCAGGATGAACTTTCACTCGCTACAAGCTGCACACATCTAGCTTGAATGGACCAACAGCAAACAGGCTAAAACAAGTTTAGAGCTCCCTAAGGGATACTGGGGTTTAAATGCTGTGGTGTAGTAGGTTAAGCCTCTGCCTGTGACACCAGCATCCCTTATGGGCACCAGTTCGAGTTCTGGTTGTTCCACTTGCAATGCAGCTCCCTGCTAATGCACCAGAGAAAGCAGTGGAAGATGACTCAAGTGCCTGGGCCACTGCACCCATATGAGAGACCAGGAAGAAGCTCCTGGCTCCTGGCTTTTGGCTTCGGACCATTGCGGCCATTTGTGGAGTAAACCAGCGGAGGGAAGACCTCTCTCTCTGTCTCTCTGTAACTCTGCCTCTCAAATAAATAAATAAATCTTTTAAAAATAAAATAAGCTTTCCTAAAGGCTGTAAGAGCATTTCAGCTCTTTAATTTCCTAGACAAGTTGAGGGGAGGGGTGGCACAGGAAGTGGATATAACCAAATAATTTATTACATATTAATTTATTTATTTACCTGAGAGGGAGAGACAGATAGTACCATTCACTGGTCCATTCTCTAAATGCTCACATTGACTAAGACTGGGCCAGGCCAAAGCCCCAAACCAGGAACTAAACCAGGTCTCCCACATGGGTGGCAGGGTCCCAACTACTTGTTGCTTCTCAGGTTGCACATTGGTAAGAAGCTGCAATCACGGACAGAGCTGGGACAAAAACCCAGGCACTGCAATAGACATGAGATGCAGGCCTCCCAGCAGTAGATTAAGCGCTGGTCGAAACACCTGCCCCCCAATCAAATAATTTTTAAAGTCATTTCTGACCGGTGTCAGAACCTTACAGATTTTAGCAGGTTTTCCCCTCCGAGAATAGATTCTATAAAGTATGAGAGTTGGCCAGATGCTGAAAAGGATCAACGTGAACATTGTGGAGGGCACGTCAACATCAACAGCTGTGGTTGCAGAGTACGCTACTTCATTTTTAAGCAAAGGCAGTGTGTCCTCACTCTGAAGTGTTTCCAGAGATATTAATATTTTCTATAGTCTCAAGCACTTATGTATAAGGTACTTTTATGCAATGAGCATACATTTGAACTGAAGAGCGTAGTACCCATTATTATTCTGGGGAACATGATCACCCCAGTGCCAAGATTCCAATCCTAGGGTCTGTCTGATCCTAATGTGCCTTTACCTGACCTGTACCCACACCTTTTGGATTTAAAATACAGATACTGCCAAACTGTTAACTGATGTTAACTTTAAAAATTCATTTTTATTATTCAGTAAATAAATGTCTACTGAACATCCAGCATACACTAGGCCTTGCTTTAGGCAGTGGGAAGAAAACCTCCATCCTCAAAAAGCTTGTATGTTAGCAAGGACAGAAAGACAGAAACAGAGGAAAGTGAGTGTGCCGGTTTCACAGCTATAGGGTAGACAGAGTGAGACAGTGCAGTGGCCCAGTGGCCAGGGATAGAAAGGCTACTGATTTTGCTAGGAGGCTGAAGAAAGCTTCTCTAAGGCAGTGACCCTGAGTGCAGGCTCAAGCGGGAGGAAGAAAACAGCCAATCCAGGGAAAGAACAAGGAGGAAGGGGACGAGGCCCTGAGACAGGACCGGACTTGGGATACTCTGAGGTCAGGAATGAGGCCAGCATGCCTGAAGTACTGCAAGCAGGGGTGAAGCACTACGAGACGGGGTCGGGGAAGTAGGGCGTCCCAGGCCAGAAGCAAAAGTCTGGGTTTTTATTTTATGTGTAACAGAAAACCACTGAGAGGTCTAAAGCAAAGAAATTATCTGACGGGATCCACTCTTCAGAAAGCTCATGCGCCTACTGTTTGGATACCGAGGGTGGGCTGGGGGTGGGGTGGGGGGAGAATGAAGATCGAAGACGGGACCACCGATTTGGACCGAAAGAGTCCAGGTCACAGATGATGGAGCCCACGGATGCAGCAATAGAGCTGGGCTACAGGATCACAGCAAAATGCAGCCACCAAGAAAACCAGTTACGCCTACATTAGCCTGTGATTTTTTAAAATATTAACGATTATTATGAGCAACTTGAATATAATCCAGGAGGATTACAATTCAGCTTTAAAAAGGGAAGCTATTATCTTTGCTTATTTTGCTATGTTAAAGGGAACGAGAAAGTTCTAAATGGGATCAAATATTATAAGTTGATCTTAACTGATATAGGGAACGTCTTAACTGGTACTGTGAACTAGAGAATTCCATGCCATTATCTGTGAGCCAACTTAAGCTCTAAAGGTAACCTATCTGAGCCGGCGCCATGGCTCACTAGGCTAATCCTCCACCTAGCGGCGCCAGCACACCGGGTTCTAGTCCCAGTCAGGGCGCCAGATTCTGTCCCGGTTGCCCCTCTTCCAGGCCAGCTCTCTGCTGTGGCCAGGGAGAGCAGTGGAGGATGGCCCAAGTGCTTGGGCCCTGCACCCCATGGGAGACCAGGAGAAGTACCTGGCTCCTGCCTTCGGATCAGTGCGGTGTGCCGGCCGCAGCGCGCTGGCCGCGGCAGCCATTGGAGGGTGAACCAACGGCAAAAGGAAGACCTTTCTCTCTGTCTCTGTCTCTCTCTCTCTCTCTCACTAACCACTCTGCCTGTCAATAAATGAATAAATAAATAAATAAAATTTAAAAAAAAAAAAGGTAACCTATCTGTAGGAATGGGCTCTAGCCTTCTCTGCTCTTGGTTGTGAGCCACTGATGCCAGAGAAACTGAGGTAGGATGGAAGGAGATGGCTCTCGACCAAGTCCCTGCGGCTGAAATTCACCAGAACTCCCCCTTGCAGCTGGGATCCCTATCTCCAAATGCTTCTGCACTGCCTATTCTTAGCGCTCTGGCAATTCAGAAGAACAAACACACGCGTGAAACTGACACAAAGCATTAGATTATAAATCCTCTTATCAAAAGGGAGGCACTGGGAGCTATGAGTCTTCAGCAAAAGAATTCAATGTGGCCCAGGGGTCCAGGACCATCAGAAAAAGCTTCCCTGAGGAAGTAACATGTGAGCTAAGGTCTAAGGATGATGGTAACATGTACCCTAAATGCATTTATTTACAAAGAAGACCTCATTAGAGAGCTAAATACTGTTTCTCCCCTATGAATATTGTGGAAGAACTTCCAGGACTCAGTATGAACACATGTATACATGTATAGTGTTTCTCTCTCCCTCCCTCTCTCTTTCTCTCTCTCTCTTTCTCTCTCTCTCTCTCTCTCACACACACACACATACACATACACATAGACTCTTCAATATGGTTTATATACAACAAACACCTCCAGATTACCTGTTCTCTGGGAGGGCATCTTGTTTCAGCTCGAAGTTCTCATTTACAGCAATTTCATGAGCAAGAGTCATGTTTGATAAATTCCTGGCTGCAGCCATAACTTCATCAAAGGTTACCACCCTAGGAGGGCTCATTGCTGAAAGAAAAACAAAAGTCAGTAAATGACATGGAAGAAACACTGTCACCCCATGAAGCCTCCTGACACTCACAAGGTTTAATTTATTTCGATGTATATTCTAGGATTTCACAAGTAAAGAGAATATACAAAGGTACTTCAAAAAGTCCATGGAAAACAGAATTAAATAGTAAGGTTATTTTGGTACAAACATTTTTAAATCCATGAATAATGTTTTATAATATTCATTCATTTTCCATTTTTTTGAAGTATCTCTTTATACAAAAATAGGTGGATGTACTAACTTAATGAAGACTTTCAAAAATTTAAGAACTCCTTTCATGGCTTCAGTTATTGTATTTGACAATAAATTCTCCGTATTCAACAATAAATTAGTAAGATTGTTTCTGAGAAAATCTTACTAACATAGTAAACATAATATAACATAGGTTAATTTTAAAAATTACATCACCTATTTTTTAGTACCTAGTGTATCTGCACTTATTACATGTATTATACAAGAAAATGATAAGACTTTATTCTTGAATTTAGAATTCTTAATAATTCTTAATTTAACAAATAGACTCAGTATGAAATAACTGATTACCTAAAACTATAAACTATGAACGTATAGTCAGTATAGCATGATGCTTAGGGTTCAATCCTAAATTTTGCTAGCTGGTAAGTTATCATTTAACTTAATTGAGGCATGGTTTACCTCCTTATAGGGTTGCCCTAACATGATTAAATGAGATAATTTAGGTAAAACATAGAACTCAATAAATATAGATAAATAAAGTAAAATAAAATAAATCCTAGAAGTTAGATAATCTACTCTTGGTAGGAATTAGTAAGTACAGAATTTGAGATATTTCTAAAGATTACACTAAGAAATTGTTCCAATAAATTGTGACTTTTGAAAATCAATGTTTAGCTTCTGTGAATTAAAAATCATAACCTCAAGCAACTACACGGACAAGCAACACTTTGCTACCTAACTTATTTTTAAAAAGGAGAAGCAGCAGGAAGCAGGGGTGGTGGCAGGGGGAGGAGATAGATGATAACCAGAGTTAGCGAAACTCTTCTTCAGGAAGCCTGGGTTCCCTGTTGTCAGATGCAGCAACCCTACCCAAAGAGTGAGTAAAGGCACGGAAACCTGGGGTGGCTGCTGTTCACTCTTTTACCAACTCCACCTGATTCTCCTTTTAAATGTCTATATACTGTGGTCCAATAATCCAAACACATCCCAAGGAACAGAAAGCCTTTATGCACCAAAATGTGCATAGAGAACTATTTTATAACAGCAGAAAGAGTGAAAACTAATTAAACATCTAATGATAAATCAATGGTTAAGTAAATTTATGTTATATTTACTTGATGAAGTAGTAGGCAGTCATAAAAACAATGTTCAAAATTATCATGAGAGGGGCATCTCATGTGGGCGCCAGTTCAAACCCTGGCTACTCCATTTCTGATCCAGCTCCCTGCTAATGGCCTGGGGAAAGCAACAGAAGATGGCCCAAGCGTTTGGGCACCTGCCAACCCCATGGGAGACCTGGAAGAAGCTCCTGGCTCCTAGCTTCAGCTTGACACAGTCCCATCCTGGCTGTTATAGCCATCTGGGGAGTATACCAGCAGACTAAAGATCGATCTCTCTCTCTCTCTCTCTCTCTCTCTCTCTCTCTCTCTCTGCCTTTCAAATAAATAAATAAATCTTTAAAAAATAAAAACACATACTGATCATAAAAAAGAAAATAAAACAAAAAAATTCACGAGGGGCTCGGATTGTGGCGCAGAAGGTTAAACTGGCAGCATCACATATCAGAGTGCCAATTCAAGTCCAGGCTGCTCCATGTCCAACCCAGCTTCCTGCTAACGTGCACCCTGGGAGCCAGCAGATGACAGCTCCAGTGCCCATGTGGGAGACTTGGATGGAGTTCTGGGCTCCTGGCTTCAGTCTGGCCCAGACCAGCTGTTGCAGCCACCTCGGCAGTGAACCAGCAGATGGGAGATCTCTCTCCCTCTCCGTCTCTCAAATAAATAAATCTTTAAAAATAAATAAAATTACCATGAATACCGTTAAGAGTCGACACATCCAAGTATGTACACACGTACATCTGTGCAAAGGGTAACAATACAGCTAAGTACTACCAGTTCTCTTTGGGTGATATTACAGGGAATTTTTATTCCCTCTACACTTTTATGCATTTTCCCAATTTCTTAAAAGTGAGAACATAAAAATTTAAAATAAATAAAAATGAACAAACTTTTAAAAATAGACACTGGGTGGGGGGGCCGGCACTGTGGCACAGCTGGTTAAAGCCCTGGCCTGAGGCTCCAGCATCTCATTTGGGTGCCAGTTCTAGTCCCGGCTGCTCCTCTTCTAATCCAGCTCTCTGCTATGGCCTGAGATAGCAGTAGAAGATGGTCCAAGTCCTTGGGTCCCTGCACCCGCATGGGAGACCTGGAAGAAGCTCCTGGCTCCTGGATCCTGGCTCCTGGCTTCAGATCAGCGCAGTTCTGGCAGTTGCGGCCAATTGGGGAATGAACCGTCAGATGGAAGACCTCTATCTCTGTCTCTACCTCTCTCTGTAACCGTCTTTCAAATAAATAAAAAATAAATCTTTTAAAAAAATGGACACTGGGTATTAAACATTAGTTGCTTTTGTCTGCATTTGTTTTGTCAGTTATACTTTCTAAACAATAGTCATTGAAAAAACTAACATAAAAAAAAAAAAAAAAGATGGGCAGACAATTAGCATAGCAGCTAAGATGCCACTTGGGATACCTGCACCTGCACCAGAGTGCCTGGGTTTGAGCGCCCGCTCTGCTCCCCATTCTAGCTTCTGGCTAAGGCATCAATGATGGCTCAAATATCTGGTTCCTGCCACCCATGTGGGAGCCTGCACTGAGTTTCTAGTTCCTAGTTTTGGTCCAGCCCATCCCTACCTGTTGTGGACATGTGGGGAGTAAAGCAGCAGATGAGACATCTCTGCCTCTCTGCCTTTCAAATAAATAAAACATTGCTTTTTGTTTTTAAAGGGCAAACACACCAGCTTTACCCAACTCTAGTTTCCACACAAACACAAAAAGGAACAGATCTCCCCTTGCTGTGGCCACTCTTTCAATTTCTTCTGCCATCTCTAGTGTGGTAATTCTCCTTGGGGCAACTTTCTGGGGGTGATTTGCACACAGTTTTTGAAATCAGCAGGAAACTCTTTAGGTTATTTCATTTCCTGCCTGACTTTTCAACAAAGGCAAGTTTGCTTCAATGAAAATGAGAACCAATCAGACAATCAATCTGAATTTATCCTTGAGAGGTATGCAAAACAGAAGGGCTTTCCACAATTTGCAAGAGCAGATAGACAAGGCTGGGGGCCTGGTTTATGGCAAAAAAGAAAGCAAATCAGTAATCCAATGAAAATCAGTAGGTTGTAGACTTCAGCAGCTATTTATTTCTGGAAAGCGTGTCCAAAAAACCCGCACAGTGCCTCTGCAGTGCTGTTCTGACACATGTAGAAAGGAGGGGCAGCCTGTGTTTTGCTCTCAGCCCTCTGAGTTATCGAATCCGAGGGACGCATCTAAGAGCACCCAGCCCCACCCCCAGCCTGAGCCCGGGTTCCTCCACTGGCTCACAAGCAGGAGAGCTGGATTTGCTGGAGGAGTCGCTCGTAAAACTCTGCCGGGAGCACTCATAGTCGCTGAGTGAAGCCATGCTTTCCGAAAACCTTGAAGAGTCCGAGTCGCTTGGCTGGTCCTCGCCCACACACTGCTTCTCTCCATGGAAGGGCATTGTGTGTCACTTGAGTCTGGACAAAAGAGATAGCACCTGCACAGACAAACAGACCCCGGTCAGGTCAGTATTCTGCAGTACTTCCGCCAATGTTGCAGGACTGAAAAGGCGCCCGGATGAGGATCTTGCCTGGTGAGGTTGTCACTAGGCATCAAGGTTGACTTCCTTCCGGGGTTCCACAGGTGTGAGCTGACTCATGACATGCTCATGTTGAATATGGGGCAGTTATAACCAATGACAGATCCTTAAAACAACAGGTGTAACACACATATTCTCTCTCCTCCTGGGTTGCTAAAAATGGGAAGGTAAGAGGGTGGGGCTCCGGGGTCAAACTGTTCATCTGTCTTTTTGAATGTGACCTTGGGGAGGTCACTTAACCACCTAGCTCATCAGTGAAACCAGCCTGAAAGAATGACCTCACAGAGTTGTTTAAAGACTGAAAGGGATTAATTTTACTAACGTGCTTAACACAGAGCTAGTGGTAGCTGTGATTGCTGTTCCTATTGCTTTGTTTTCAATGAAACATTTCTGACATCAGTCTCTTCTTGCTGTGAGCCTCCTGGAAGAGACGAAAGACTGACTAGAATCTCTGGCTGGCAAGTCTCTAGCCTCCTGCTCTCCACTGGCATATGAACTGCCCTGATGTGAAGGTAAAACCTCCTACTCGTTTTGTACTTGACAACTGACCAAGTACGCACCATACCCCAGGAGCACACAGGCACCTGGGGTCCCAGTTTACAGGCGGTGGACACACTCAGAGGGACAAGAGGACTTACTACGCCATAAAACAAGTCCCTTGGTTCTACTCCAGTGCTGTTTCTGGGGCATCGGATTGCATCCCAGCGAAGGGCAGCTGGACCTAAGCGTGACCCAGAAAGAAGATCAGGGGCCCACAAGGTGCCCGGGCCGGGGCCCAGGAGGACCAGCCAGGCCCGTGAGGGAGCTGGCCCTGATACGAGTGTGGTGTCAGTTGACACTGAAAGGGAAACCTGTCCCCGGTGAGAAAGGCACCTGAAATCCTAAATGGACAATAATGACAGGAAGAGTTCACGGAGTCCTTTACACCTGAACCAGCCTGCACGATGAGAAATAAAGCACTCGGAGAGCCACCAGAACACAAAACCCCCACTACACACACCGGGCCTGGAGATGCCTACACGGCTTCTCTGGTAACATCAGTGCACTTCTTGAGCATTTACTGGGTACAAGGCACTTGGAAAAGGAACAGCAAACATGGCAGAAAGGACCCTGCTCTCGCGCTCCTCAAGTCCCGTTACCTAAAATTGTGTGTGCTGGAAGCTGGCAGGTGAGAGAGGGGAAAACAAGACATGGCTGAGAAAGCGCAAGAAAGGAGAGGCATGGTCAGGACTGAGGGGAGTGGAGGGTTCTAGCCTTTGATGCAAGAAAGAGACATTTCTTAAAAAATTTCTCAGGAACAAAAATGAACCTGAGAGGGATTTACTAAGGATCAAGGGTGCAAGGCATTTGTACCTTGCCTCACTTAACCTCTCTCCAGTCCTGCCGCTTACAGAAATGAACCCTGCCCAGCCCACTGCTTTTGCAAACAGAAAATCTGCTAAGGCAGAGCCTGCCTCTACAGACTGCAGGGCAAGGGCTGGAGCAGAACTGCCAGGGAGCCTTGGAGAGATGTTCACTTTACACTAGAACCCCAAAGCCAACCTGTGTAGACAGGCTACACAACAGACTCAAACCCTTGCATCAAGGGGACAGAGGAAAGGGGACTTTCTAACCCTTCTACTGCCACCAGATCCCAACCCTAAGTAGAATGCTCACTCTCCCCTGCAGCATGCTTTCTCTCTTTCTGCCAGCATTTTACTTCCTAGTGTTGGCATTTCTTGGAAAATGACACCTTTTCCCAGGAAGTCGCCCCTTTACCCTCTGGCCAGAATCCATGGCGCTCCTGTGTGTCTGCAGCACATCTCCTGCATCCCCATGAGAGCTCTTAGTCTCTAGTTATTTTCATCTGTGACTACTTCCGAACCTCCTTAACAAGCCAGAGACAGTGTCTTAAAGCTACTGCCAAGTATTTGACACGCATTCATTCAGTGTCAGCTAAATAAGAATCACTGAATCCCATTTGGTACAGCTTCAACCAGAACATTTGCAAACTGATACCACTACCTGTTTCCAGGCCTGGCAGTTTCAACATCCAAGCCCTGGAACAGAGACTCTACTGCCTAAGCCTACCTACCTTATTAGGACCCCAGGTCCTTGTCATACTCTCATTTAAATTTCTCAGGCTGTTTCCACATTATGATTTTTTCCCCGTCATTTCCCTGCAAAGTAATAACTGTGCTAAGACTGCTCTGTCCTTGTCTTCCTCCATTACAGCTACCTCGGATGAGCAGAGTCCTGGGCTTTTTTTTCCAAGTAAAAATGAATAAAAGCTTTCATCCACAAGGAGTTTATGAACTAGGTTAACAGCTATAACTGTTAATAGCACACTTGGTGGATTTCTTAATTGTGTTTAACAAGGCAGCAAAGGGCAAAGATTTAAACAATAAAAAGCTCTAGGTGAAGGAGTCAGGAGTTAAGGGTTTGGGGCTGTGTGACTTTATGCACCTCACATCTGCTCTTCTTCACCTCATTTTACTGAGGGTTGGGCCAGTGATAAGGTTTCTTCCAGTTAGGAATTGCTAAGATGATCCAACTTCAGTTTCATCAGGTGTCACGACAAGTTTAAGAAATTAAATCTGTTCATGGCAGCCATGCTTAACAGTGTGCAATTACTCTCTCCATCACAATTCACTGGAGATAGAGTTCTTGGTCCAGAAGATGTAACAGAAAATGTAAAAGCTTCAAAATGTTCAGAAACTAGGAGTTGGTAGAAGCCTCCACTTTATAACAGGGCCTTGGTGTGTCCCAGCAGAAGCCAAAGGGTCTTTGAAGCCAAAACGTCTTGCAGCATTCTATATAGAAATGGTCTGGGCCAGTACTGTGGCATAGTAGGTTAAGCCTCCATCCACAGCACTGACATCCTATGTGGGCACTAGTTCGAGTCCCAGCAGCTCTACTTCTGATCCAGCCCCTGCACCCATGTGGGAGACCTGGAGGAAACTCCTAGCTTCAGACCAGCCCAGCTCCAACCACTGCAGCCAATTGGGGGGTGAACCAACAGATGGAAAACCTTTTTTTTTTTTTTTTTTTTTTTTTTAGATTTTATTTATTTATTTGACAGAGTTACAGACAGTGAGAGGGAGAGACAGAGAGAAAGGTCTTCCTTTCATTGGTTCACTCCCCAAATGGCCGTAACGGCTGGAGCTGTGCCGATCAAGAACCAGGAGCTTCTTCTGGGTCTCCCACGTGGGTGCAGGGGCCCAAGGACTTGAGCCATCTCCTACTGCTTCCCTAGGCCATAGCAGAGAGCTGGATTGGAAGAGGAGCAACTGGGACTAGAACCGGCACCCATATGGGATGCCGGCACTTCAGGCCAGGACTGTAACCCACTGTACCACAGCACTGGCCCTGTAAGACCTTTCTCTCTGTCTCTCCCTCTTTGTCTTTAACTCTCTCAAGTAAACAAATAATAAATCTTTAAAAAAAAAAGATCTGTTTTCTCATATAGGCAATACATAACAATATCTAACTCACAGGGCTGGAATAAGATTTCATTTAGTGATATAGGTGGAGTGCTTGGAATAGTGTTTGACACAGAGTAAACACAAAATAGACGGTTGTTATTATTTGCTTGCTAATATCATCTCGGGCATTACAAACTTGGGAAGAAAGAACAGGACAATAAAAGCAGGCTCCCCTAGAAATAAACAAGGCTGGCTGTTAACCTAGGGCAGAACTCTTGCCTTGTCTGAAACACAAAAGCCAAAAGCAAGATGACCCATCACAGAGTGAAGGGTCTTCTGCAAGTTCCCCCACACCTGCTCTTACTTTTCCTGGTCTTAGCTTCCCATAAAAGTCAGCTGGGGATAAAGCTACTGTGGTAATTAGACTGCTTTGCAAACTATTTTGGATTCCCTCTTAGGTCAGTAATAATGGAATCTGACTAATGTTTGTATGTTTTTTAAGAAAGGCAATGTTTCTCACACCAACAAACTTAGATCTACCTAACCTTCAACAAGCAAATCAAACAACTTTTTAAAAAACACCACAGCTCATCTTTCCTGGAAGTTTTATTCACTGACCACAGGTAAAGTCCAATGATAATGCCAAGCAAAGCCTTTAATACCACAGTGGCTCAACAGTTAGAGAAAATTAAGTATTCTCATAGTCACATTTTTCATTGTACTGTTCCATTTTATAATAATAAATACAGTATTACATCATTCCTCCTGAGGTCAATGACTAGAATGCAGCAGGTACTTAAATCCTTATGATTTATTTATTTGTTTGTTTTTTTTGACAGGCAGAGTGGATAGTGAGAGAGAGAGACAGAGAGAAAGGTCTTCCTTTTGCCGTTGGTTCACCCTCCAATGGCCGCCACGGCTGGCACGCTGCAGCCTGCACACCGCGCTGATCCAAAGGCAGGAGCCAGATGCTTCTCCTGGTCTCCCATGCGGGTGCAGGGCCCAAGCACTTGGGCCATCCTCTACTGCCTTCCCCGGCCACAGCAGAGAGCTGGCCTGGAAGAGGGGCAACCAGGACAGAATCCGGTGCCCCGACCGGGACTGGAACGCAGTGTGCCGGCGCTGCTAGGTGGAGGATTAGCCTATTGAGCCGTGGTGCCGGCTAAATCCTTATGATTTAATGAATGACAGTATGATTACTGACATTTTAGAGAGAAGGGGATGGGTACAGGAGCCTCAAGGGGCTAGTCCTGTATCCCCCCACAGATAAAGGAGAAAAAAAGAAATGCGTTTTAATTTGCCTGTGATTCCTCAGCTTGTGTCCAACTTTATTTCTTAAACTCTCTTCTGCAGCAGACTCTCTGCGATGGTGCTGCACTGGTCATGGTTGCAAAGATACACCCATGACAACACATATGTACTGAAGCAGTAAGCACACAGACTCTGGAGCTAGGCAGACTGGCTTCCTCACCCAATTCTCGATATCTGACCACTGGAGACAGGGCGTGTACTTCGCGTTTGTAAAGCAGGGACAATGACAGTATCTACCTTGCAGAACTGTTGTGAAGCTTAACTGAAGTAAGTCCCTATCAAGTACTCCAGCTCCTATTAAGTGCCTGGCAGGTGCCAGCTCTCATTTTATTCTAATAAAAAGACGTTGTAAATTCCAAAAACAAGTCAATCCCACATAAAACAAAGGAAGGCTGAGGATATGTCTGTTCCAGATAAAAAGAGACTGCCTAAGTGCTCTGGTGTAAACATACCCCCAGAAAAGCACGTTTTGGAAACTTAATTCTCAATGTGACAATGTTGGAAGGTGGGCCCATGGGAGGTGTTAAGGTCAGGAGGGCTGCCTCTCAGAGGCAATGGCAGATGGACTGGTGCCAATTTTAGAAGGACACCAAGGAGCAAGTTTGATCTCCTGTTCATGTTGGGCCTTCTATCACTTTATGTGCAGCACGAAGGCCCTCACCAGATGCTGGCCCCTTGATCTAAGACTGCCCAGTTGGCAGAAACATGAGCCAAATTAAGTTTCTGTTCATTATAAATTACCCAGTCTTTGGCATTCTGTTAGAGCAGCACAAAACAGACTAAGACAATAACTGAGTGCAACAGATTCCAGACTGGATTCTGCACTGGAGAAAATATGTGGCACAAAGGACATTATTGAACAACTGACAACATTGTGATGATACTTGAATCTACCGTCTATATTTCCATGTTAAATATACTAAAGTTGATAAATGTATTGTGTTTATATTAGGAATAAAGGATCATGATCTGTGCAGCTTTCTCTCAAATGGCTCAAATGAACGAGCAGAGAAGGGACCAGCGCTGTGGTGCAGTGGGTTGAGCCAAGGCCTGCAGCGGCAGCATCCCATTTCTAGCTGCTCCATTTCTGATCCAGCTCCCTGTTGGTGCACCTGGGAAGGCAGCAGAGGACGGCCCAGGTCTTCGGGCCCCTGCAACCACATGGGGGACCCAGAAGAAGCTCCTGGCTTCTGGCTCCAGCCAAGCCCAGCCCTGTCTGTTGCAGCCATCTGGGGAGTGAACCAGTGGATGGAAGACCTCTGTCTCTACCTCTTTTTGTAACTCTGCCTTTCAAATAAATAAAATAAATCTTAAAAAAAAATAAAATAAGAAAGCAGCAGAAGATGGCCAAGTGTTTGGGGTCCTGGCATCCACATGAGAGACCTGGAAGAAGCTCCTGGCTCAGCTCTGGCTGTTGCAGCCATTTAGGGAGTGAACCAGCAGATGGAAGCTCTCTCTCTCTCTCTCTCTCTCTGTGTAACTCTGCCTTTCCAATAAGTAAATCTTTAAAAAATAAAATAAAATAAAAAGCTAAATGTTAACAGGTGAATCTGAAGAAAAGGTAGAGTGTGGGATGTCCTTGATACTATTCTTGCAACTGAATAAAGAGTTTTGGGGGGTCAGCGCTGTGACACAGTGGGTTAGGCTGCCATTTGCGACTCTGGCATACTATATGAGTGTGGGTGCCAGTTCCAGTCCTGGCTACTCTGTCTGATCTAGATCCCTGTTCATGGACCTGGTAAAGCAGAAGATGGCCCAATTGCTTGGGCCCCTGCCACCCCCATCAGAGACCTGATGGAGTTCCAGATTCCTTTCGCTTGGCTCAGCCCCAGCCATTGCAGTCATGTAAGCAGTGATCCAACAGATGGAAGATCCCTTTATCTGTCTTTCCCTCTGTCACTCTGCCTCTCAAATAAATAAAATAAATATTTAAAAGGGAGAGGTGGAGTTAAAAAAAAAAATTCCAAAGTATCAGGACAGGCGCTGTAGCATACTGGGTTTTAGCCAACTTGGGATACCGATATCCTATATTGGAGTGCTTTGCCAATTGAAGTTCAGCACCTCCACTTCCAATCTAGCTTCCTGCGAAAGCATACTGGGAGGCAGCAGACGATGGCTCAAGTGCTTGGGTCCCTGCCACCCAGGTGGGAGACCCAGATGGAGTTTGGGCTTCTGGCTTTGGTTGGGCCCAGCCCTGAATGTTGCAGGCATCTGGGAAGTGAACCAGTGGATGGAAGATCTCTCTCTCTCTCTGTCTCTGTCACTGCCTTCCAAGTAGATGAAAATAAACAAACCACAAAAGACAGAAGTATTAAACTGAAAAGTGGAAATTCTAATTTAGAAAAGAGAAGTGTCCTGCAGTGTTTATAGATTTTGACTGGTCCTGTCTCTGTGACAGGATGGATTATAATTATCACAAAAGATCTTCTAGACAAACTTGACCTACTGTTCTTGAGCAGTGCTTAGAGAATAAAACAGGAAATGGGTGAAAGCCTTCAAAGGTCCACAAGAAATCATCCTTTTAAAAAGGAGTTCACCCCCAAGTGGTTTTCCTCTTCCTAAGAAATCTCCTGACTGTGATTTACAATCCCTCTGTCCCCTGGCCTCTGCCCACCTCATCGTGTTCCACTCTCCCCATCACTTTCAGGTTCCAGACACAACAGTCTTCCTCGGGTTCCTCGGACATGCCAAATTTCCTACTTGGGAGTAAGTGCAGCTGACATTCTCTCACCCTGCAACGTCTGTCTCCTGGATCACCCAGTAGGTGGCCCCTTGTTGTCATTCAGATTTGAAATGTAACATCACAGCTTCTTTCCTGATACCGTACTCACTACATCTAAAGTAGCTGTTTACGGTTTAGAGAAACGCCCGGGATTCAGTGGGAGCTCAAAGAATAGCTTGGCTTGAACCAAGTATGCCACAATCCTGTTCAGAAGACAACCTGGGTTTTTTGTGTCTTCTGCCTCACATCGCTCGTATTCCCACTATGCAGTCATTTTAAAATATTATAGTCGTTATCTGCATATCCATCTTCCCACTAAATGTTAAGCAGCTCGGGGCAAGAAGCTATGTCTGCCTCTCCAATCCCAAGTGCCTACCAATAATCCAAGCTAACAAAGACTCAGTTCCAGGAGCTTAAAGAAACATTTACATTGTGTCTTTCCAGCCTCCTAATACTCACTAATAGCAAATAGTAACAATTAGACCTAATAGTCACTGAGTGCTTATTATGACCTCAATCATCTGCCCTCAGTGACTGTTTTCGGATAAGTGCTCTAAGTATTTTATCTCCTTGAATCCTCATTATAACTTTGTCATCTAAAGTACTGCTGAACCTAGGGCTCAGAGAGGTTGCATTATTTGCCCAAGCGTTCACAGCAGTGAAGAGGCACAACTCAAACCCAAGCAGTGCAGTCCTCAAGCCCACCCTACCAGCACTAGACAGCTGGGGAAAATCTGATGTGCTGCTCACTTCTCCCACTCCTACTCTGCCAAAGCAACCTACCCATCACCACGTGGACACTGCACTTCGGCAGTGGGATGGCTGCTCCAGTACTATACGGTAAAGAACACGTCTGAGAGTCCAAAATAGCTCTGTATCGCTCCACCAACTAAAGTGACTCCAAAGCCTCTGTGCACTGCAAAAATTCTTAGTTGGAGACCAAATATTACCACAAGGGTTAATTGCACACAGCTGGTATGAGTCATAAACATTTTGGAGTGAATTATTCAGATTATCCAGCAGAGCCCTGAAAAATGGAATCCATCTGCTTAAGTTAGGTCATAAACAGAAATTTCAAGAAACATCTAGTGGACACCACTCTTTGAGACTATCAAGGTCAGGTGCAAGGAAAAACATTCACGTATGTGTACTGCAGAGGAGTAAGACGGGACTCTGAAGAAAAACCGCAGATGACGTGGAAAATTTCCACCTTCTGCAAAGTACTGCTTTAGAACAGTCCACCCAGCATTGCAAAAAAGTCATTCCACCGCGCAAAGCATCAACCGTAGTCAGAGAGCTAGGTGCCTGTGCCATTCAGCTAGACAATGCTGGCCTTCATCAAATCAGAAGCAACAAAGAGCCAGACGGAGGCCAACAAGCCAGTCACTGTCTAAAGAGCAGAAGTCCACCCTCCACACGGCTTTACCAGAATCAGAGAAGGACTTCTGGGCATTTTCACCCGGGAAAGCGTGCTCCTTCCACTCTGTCGGCCTGGCTTGGTACCTGTGTTTCCCCTCTGGGACGCTTGTCCCCTACAGAAGGGCACGGAAGCTACTTCCACCTATGACTGGGTACCTTCAGCCCTAGGCCACCGCAGGACAGGCCACCTCTCCTGGCTGCCAGGTGACGTGGGAAATCCCGGGAAGAAAGAGGGAAAGGCAGGGAGGCCGGCCCGGAGCCTCCTAAAAGTGGGAACCGCTGAGAACCCCATCAGGGGTTGGCGGGTGGAAAAGCAAGGTGTCTGAACCGCGGGTGCGAGGAACCCGCTCCTGGCTCGGTCGGGCGCTTTTCCTCCTCGCTCAGGTCGCAGGACAACCATCCGAGGGAGCACTCAGACTCTGCAAACTTGAGCCATCTGAAAACCACTCATCACAACCGCTTCCCCCTTTCCATCTCTACCAACATTTTCATCTGACTTAGACTTTTGCATTTAAATACATTTATTTAAAAGGAGAGTTTATCATTGTGAAATCGCTGGTCTAAAGGAACAATTTTTCTTAACACCAACGGAAACACAAAATCCACGCGCCGCCCCCCCCCCCCATCAAAGCCCTAACCCCCCCCAGTGGTGCCAGCCAGAGCGGCAGTTTCGGGAAGCACCAGCCATCGGGCGCTCCAGCCCAGGTCTGCTCCGCACCCCCAGCCCACGCCCTCCTGCCGCCCCTCCGCCCCGGCTGCACCACGTTTCCTGTCAAAACAAACCCTCGCCGGAGGGGGAGGGGACGGCGGAGGCAGAGCCCAGCGCCTGGGAAACCACAGCAACAAACCCCAAACACCAGCTGCAGCCCGGCCCGCCCCGACCCCGGCCCAGTCCCGCTCCGGCCCGGCCGAGGGTGCGGGTGGGGGGAGGGGGAGGGGGAGGAGGTCCCAGTGCTGGAACCCAGGCGGTGGGCAGCCGCTCGCGGAGCGGTCGCTGGCACCGGCCCAGCCAGAAGCCAAACCGCGGCGAAGCGGTCCCCTGCGCGTCCGGGCCCCGACGCCCGCGGCCACCAGGGGCCGGCACCCCACTCTCGCGCGGGGCGGCGATTCGAGGTCCGACAAGGAGTCCGGGGTTGGGAGGCGCAGCCGGGCTCGATCGGCCCTGGCCGTTTCAGTACGGAGTTCCGAGACGGGGCCTGCCGGGGGTAGAAGCGTCCCCTCCGCCGGCCCGGGCCCGTCCCCTCTGAGACGGCGACCCCTCCCCAGGGACGGATACACACCGGATCTGGCGCGGAGACGGGAGGAGAAGGGCGACTGACCCCGGCTCAGGGGTCGCTGGTGTCCCTTCACCAAGCACCTCAGAAACTCATCAGCCCAACAACCTCCAGCCCCTCCGCCCTCCTCCCCCCCTCCCTCCACGCGGTATTTAAAGGGCCCTGAGGCACTCTAAAGAGGCAGCCACAGAGCGGCCATCACAAAGCAGGCGAGCGGGGGGAGACGACGGCGCGGCGGAGCAGGGAACTCTGTGATCCTGCGGCCTGATGGCTGAGTTCTCAAAGAATCGACCGACACATGGCATCGTTTCCCTCGTGTTTGGTCAGAGAGGTCGAGAACGCTTGTATTGCAGGGTTTTTCTGGTGAGAGAGGGACTACCCCCCCACACGCTGCGAGTGGTGCAGTCCAAGACTGCTAGGGGCGGAGATAAAACTGTTTACGGAACTGGGGCAGCCGCACCGCCCAGGGCTCCCGGCATCGGGGGCGGGGCCTCCGGGCCCACTGTGGGCGGGGCGTTGGGGGGGGAAGGAGGGCAGGGCGGGGCCCGCCTGGCTGGGTGGAGCCGGGGCCCAGGGGGCGGGGCTGGCGGAGCGGCCGGTACTGGGACTTCCGGGCGCCACGAGGGCAGGACCCGCTGGGCTCCCGGACCCCCGACCCCACACCCCGATCGTGGACGGCGATGCAATCTGCTTTCTTCATGGGGCGCTCCTCGAGGCCGCACACCCCTCTTCTAGACAGGGCGATCCCAACTGGATGCCCACCGTCACCCCGAGTCCACACCAGCGACAACCGAACCGACCGCGTTGCTAGAGGGCAACCGTGTCGTCGACGTTCGTGTCAGCACCGCCACATAAACACGGGTCCAGATTTGCACCTGGAGTGGGACGATTAGCTCCTGGGGGCCACGCCCACCCGGGCTCTGTGGAGACCGTGTGTGCGTGCAGAAGATAAAGCGTCTTAACTTCCTCTAGGGTTCCGGGCAGCCGCGGTCTCCATGTTTCCAAGTGGGTTAATGTAAATAAGCGGTCCCGAGAGGGGCCCTGTGCGGCCGGGCCTTCTGCTCTGCTCCGTGGGCTTGCTTCAGGGCGCACGGAAATGAGCCGCCCGCGGCGCAGCGCAGGTGCGAGTCGGTATATATATACATATATAAAAATTATATATGTATATATAACTCCCCACGGGCAACAGACAAAGCAGGTACAGAGCCAGTGGCACAGTAGTGACAATGTGGACGCATCTTGAGTTCAGATACATTCTGCCATACATTCACCACCCATGAGGTCTCGGTCAATGGCGATAACCATGATAGCTGTGGCATTGGTTCTTGTAAAGCATGCGAAGTGCTGAGCATTTGAGAAGGTCAGCACTCAGTAAGTGTTAGTTACTGCAACTATTTGGCAAACCACCTGGAACAACTTTAGCAGCTGATTGGATACATTTGTGTCTGTATCGCCTTTGGCCACTCTTTCTCTTCTAAAATGGGTAGCTCCATACACGTGCAGAGGTTAAAGACAAAAGTGTTGTTGCCTCCCAGTGTCTTTCCTAAAAAGATAACCTTATTTCTCTGCTGTTTCTTAGCACAAGCCATTGGGATGACAGAAGCCTCCGTCTCAATGCTTGCCGAATAGCAACCACCACACAACTGGCATCATCGCCCTCAAAACCTCATACTAGAAACATCAGCCAAAAATACCCTGCAAACGTCTGGTGACTCTGAGAGTGACATGTTACAGCGTTGCTTTGCAGGAACATATTAAGTATTGTTTTCTGCTACAGCGTAACCTGGAGCAGGTGAACATGAGTCAGGGTAGTTGTCCAGCCTAGCTGGGTGATCACAGCTTTGAAAGCTCAAGTATGTGGCTCCCAAAGCCACAAGGAAACAATTTTTGTCAAAGCAAGTGAGTCAAGCTTCAGCATGTGGTGGGGGTGACAGCCTTGGGGGAGGTAACATCAGAGACCTGAGCCAGGACCAAAAGATGACTCTGCAAATACGGTCTTCTGTTACTTTGATGGTAAATAACTCTGGATCTCAGTGCCCTTTGGTGAATTCCCTAACTGCTGTCCGCCTGGCTTGTGTATGCTTTGAAAAAAAGCAGAGTGCTCCTTTACAAACAACACTTGTGTCTTATTCAGAGCGCTCAGCAGTCATCGAATAAAATCCTCCCTGGTCAGGTTGTGTTTATGACTTTCTGGGAGGGAACAATGTCTGTAAAGGCAACCTCTTTAGCAAGTAAAGTGATTGGCATTTTATTTGAAAAAGATGTCTTACTACACCTAATTAGTCTAATGTACTTTTTGGGAACTACTTAAGAGTACTCCTGGCAATATGGTTTGTTTTCCCCATAAGTGACATGATAGCCTGAATTTAGTTGATTGCCCTTGGCAAAAGGCAAGGGAAATAGCAAAGTTTTTACTCAGTGAAGAAACGGAAATACTCATTTTTCTTGTACACATCTGAAGTCTGAATTTTATATTACAATGAATCCTTGGGGGAAAAAAAATCAGAAAATCCATAAAGGTAACTGGAATGTGGATTTGCCACCTCTCAACTATTTAACCTGTGTAGTAGAGCTGCACCTTATGCTGATTTTTACCCCCTCTTTATTTGATGAGAGAGAGAGAGAGACAGAGACAGAGAGAGAGAAATCTCATCTGGTTCCTGGTTCCTTCTTCAGATGCCTGCAAGCAGAGCTGGGCTGAGGCTAAAGTGGGAGCCGGGACCTCAATCCAAGTCTCCCACATGTGTGGCAGGAACCCAGTGACTTGAGCCATCAGTGCTGTCTCCCAGGGTCTGCATTAGCAGGAAGGTGTTCTTCTCCGCTGGGTCAAATGCCCAACCCCTGTGCTGGCTGAACATAATACAGATACAGCTATCAGTACTTGGCCAGGGGCACAGCAGATGACTTCAATGCTGCCGATGTTTTTGCTGTTTCTGTCTGGGGGAGTTGTGAAGCTTCTCCTCCTACACTGATCTGAGTTGCCAAGCTTCTCATTATAGTCTAAGGTTTTTACCCAGGGCTGGCCTCACAGACATGCAGACTGTACAAGTGCATGAGAGCCCACCCTTGGAAGAACTCCATCATGCTTTGCTTAATGTTCCTCTGGTACTCTCTTGAAATTCTTAATAACTTTGTAAACAAGGGACACTGCATTTTTCACTTTTGCACTGGACCCTAAAAATTGTGTAAATGAATCTAATTTCACCACACAGAATGAGTCAAATGTTTAATTGTATTTGTTTGCCCTTAACCTGCCCCCAAATGCAATTCAATTATTTCATCAATATTCAGTTAAAGAAACATATATCTGTTTCAATACTGAAGGAGAACAAGCAAAGACAACTGGGTGTATCCCAGGTGTCATGGCTTATTTAAGAAATTTTCAAGAGTAATTTTGACTGCACATGATTTTGATTCAGTGATCTCCCTGTAGAGCCTAAACCCTCATGTAGGATGTGACTCCATTAGAAGAGGAGGAGGAGAGGGAGGGGGAGGAGGAAAGATTAAATGGGGTCCCTCCTCTTTTTTTTCTCCCCTGTCCTTAAGATTAAGGTGCTAGAAAAAGAGCTAAAAATCAGTTAGCAGGTGAGAGGGGGATGCACTACAGAGCAGAAGGAAGATAAAGAATCTGGCTAATACACATACTAGCAAATCAATCACTGAGTATTCAGAAATTAGCTACTACCTATTTCCTTAGGTCTTTAAGAAAAGGCAGATTTAGGTCATTGACCATTTTTGACTATTAATTAATTCTTGATCAGTTTTCCAAAGAACCAAAACTAGCTTTTCTGTTGATGCCTCTGAACTGAATTAGCATAAACCTGGAGATTATTTCTTGTCCCAGTAGCCTGCATCCCATATTTAGACACTGCCCAAGACCCTGACCCTGTCCCATATTTAAAAGGCAAACTTTCCCCCACTCCCCCATAAACCCCTTCCACTCACCTGGACACCACTGTTGTCTCATGGGAAGCAAAAAGAATAATGAGAACCAGTAGGGAGGACAACTGTGGGCAGGATGTGGGAGTGGCCAGGGAGAATTAAAGCTCAAAGGAGCACCAATGGGAGGCCAAAGAGTTGATGGCTCAGTCCCCTGCCCCAGACAGTCATCCTCTTACCACATCTCCCAACCAGGAGGCAATCAGGATGCACATATAGGCCCTCACTTTTTTTTTTTTTTTAAGATTTATTTATTTGAAAGGCAGAGGTACACACATACACACAGAGACAGAGAAGAAGAGACAGAGAGAAAGAGATCTTCCCTCTGCTGGTTCACTCCCCAAATAGCCCCAATGACTGAAGCTGGGCCAGGCCAAAGCCAGGAGCCAAGTGGGTGCAGGGGCCCAGGGACTTGAGCCATCTTCTGCTGCTTTCCCAGGAGCATTAGCAGAGAGCCGGATCAGAAGTGGAGCAGCTGAAACATGAACCAGAACCCATATGGGATATGGGCATTACAAGCAGCAGCTTAACCCACTGTGCCACAGCTCCAGGCCTTCACTTTTAAAATGAGCTATGATACCCAATAGGATGGATAGAGCTTCTAAAATAAGATGCAAAACCCAGAAGACATATAGGGAAGATCAAGAAATGAGACTCTTCAGATACATCATAAAAATGTGAGTTCTAGAACAATGGTTATGGGGTGAAACCACTTATGATAGAGACAGCTTACATTAGAGAAAATATGTGTGCACTCTGGATGCTTGAAATGGACTAAAAGTATGCCCTCCAACCTGTTTAGAAGGGCAAGTTGGGAAATATTACTGATTTATTCTATATACATTCAAATAGCTTATTTATTTTGTGAGAATTTATTGGTCCCTATGTTACTCGTGTTAATTTTATGCTCCCTTACAATTACACTACTCTTATCATTGGTAGGTCATGCAGAATTTATCTTAGTGGAGGTAGGCTCCACACAATAAATAACTTTCCTATCTTTTACTCATATTTAAGAAAGTCCTGATATCTAATGGAGCTTTTCATGTAAAGTACATAAAGAAATAGACTTACAAAAGACCCCTCTGTGCCAAAAGTATTTATGTTGGGTGGGGAAATATTGATTTTTAAGCCATTGAATTGTATATTTTATTTGAAAGGGATAGAAACACAAAGAGGTCTTACATTTATTGGCTCACTGCCCCCAACACCCAAGGGTAGGCCAGGACAAAGTCAGGAGCCGGGAACTCAATCTGAGTCTCCAATATGAATGGCAGAGACCCAAGTCCTTGAGTCATCACTTGCTGCCTCCCAAGGTGCACATTAACAGGGAGCCAAAATCAGAAAGAACTGGAACTCAAATCTAAGGATATAAGCATCCAAAGGGGGGTCTTAACTGCTGTGCTAAATGCCCACCTGCGACCCTTGTTTTCTAAGTAGTTCTCATCAAATGCCCCACATCCCCCTCTTTTAGTTACCAAGGTACACAGACTTGACTTTCACTTAAAAAATGTTTTTGTCGCAATCTTTGACCTAAGGCCTTCATTTCTTTGATGATAAACAGGACACGTGTCCTTCCCAGTGTGATACGGAGCTTGAATAATGGTACTGTCTTTTGAAGATGAAACATTGAGAGCCCTGAACATTCAGATGCATGTACAGTAGCTTTTACCTGAGTTCATGTGCATTCTGGTGGAAGGTGCTGTACTCATCCCAGGGCACTGAGGATTTATGACCAACCAAAGAGGTACTCAGTAGTAGTGACTCAGTGAGTTGGCATGTCAAGAATAGAAACCAGAAGAACTCATTCCATGGCTTCTCTCCACAAATATGCACACATACTCACAATTCACACTCACACACACACAGTGTCACATACAAAATGCAAGTATTACCTATTGGTGTAATTATCTAATTTCCATAACAACATGTCAACAAGCATACCAGCACTGTACCAACTAAGTACCCGAAGTATTTATAATCACATTCCATCGTTCCAGAAGGGTGCCTGGATCATGTCCTGGGGTGGCTGTGCCTTCCAGGAAGCAAAGAGAATGGAATGCTGCCAAGTATCCTAAAATATGAGACTCTTTATGTTTCATTTATAGAAATAACCAGAGTAAGGCGGAAAAAAGGCAAGGCAAAATCTGGACTGAGAAAATCTGGAGTTAAGAGCCACATTGGACACATCTGGCCAATGTCCTGAGATGGATTCCAGGTTAGGACATTGTTTGTGCTACAGAGACATCTGCGAATACATAATCAGCAAGCCCGTGAAAGGCTGGGTACAACATAATTATACAAGTGAATTTTAATGCTCAAGCTGAATTATTTATTTAAAGGAGGGCAGCTGTGATTACACTTGTAAATTTTGAAAAACTTAATAAATGTACAAGTATTGATCTGAATATCAGTTTTTTTCAAAGAACAAATCAATTGAAGTACAAACTACCTGTGTATAAAAAAGCAATGTGGTATCGTGGGAAGGGAGTGGGCTTTGGATTCATATGACTGGGAGGGTTCAAGTTCCATCACTCATACAAGTACACATGACCTTATCGTCACAGGTGTGAAACGGAGATGATGATGTCATGAAGACCATCCATTGGGTGATCTGTTTCGCCAGCGATAGTTGCATTATTACCCTTTGTTACAGAGGTCAAAGTGGGGATGAGGGTGATCTCATTAACACTTTATTGCAGAATCTGGAAAATATTCTCTTTTTGCCAACTCTGAGAGCCATAATGTGGGCAAGGGACTGAAGCACATTCTGCTCCATGCTGACCCCCACAGGAAGGTAGGGATGATTCCAAAGGCCTGCAGTGGTGGCGTCCAGTGCTGATGGCACCAGCCACACCATCCCTGAGGCGTGGTCTTAGCTGTGCCTGGCTTCCTTTAGCTCTTCCCCAACTTTGTTCCCCAGCCTAAAGATCACTAATGCCATGAGCAACCACGACCTGGTGGTCTCAATTCTATGAGCAACTAAGACTGTGGTCCAATTCAGAATGGCTATCCATTATTTGCCACTAAGAACCTTGAATAGAATAAATATCCCATAGTTGGTTGGAGTTGAAAGAGATAATGCATATAAGGAGTTGACAGAGGAGGCTGCTTGGGGCCTCTTTTGTAAGGGTACTAACCCCATTCATGAGGGTTCTACCCTCAGGGTTTAATCAACTCCTAACCACATCATGTTGGAGATTAGTTTGCCACACAGGAATTTTGGGAGTAAACATTCAGAGGATAGCAATAAGAAAGGCTCATTTACATTTTGAAAAGTTGTAACTGATGTTTTATTAGGAGAACTATTTTTTAGATTGATGCTTGCTAA